CTTAGGGACATTTTCTATAAGTTTGATATTTTACCTTTAATTAATCCTAGTAAAGTCAGTGTATTTATTTCCTTTTTCTTAAAAACAATTTTATCTTAACTTTTCCCCCCTTAACAAGTTGTCAGTATTTTGATAGTGTTTCAGTTTTGTCTTTGTGATGTACCCATTGTGTTTAGAGGTTTTTATTTCTTCCTGAAGGATGCAAACCCCAAACCAAACCTACAAACATCAGTCCAGCCTAGCTCATAGTGACCTCCTCTTTGAGCTTTCTAAGGCTGTAAAGATTTGCAGGAGGAAACTCTTTGTGTTTTTTCTCTTGGAGTAGTTGGTGGGTTTGAACTGCTGACCTTGTGTTAGCAGCCTAAGATTTTATTCACTGTGCTACCAAGCCTCCTTGTCTAAAGACTAAAATGCCTCAAATTGTAGGAATACTTCCTCCCCCGATGTTTTCCCAGTAACCTGGTAAAAGTGGACATCCAACTGTTAGGGAGAAATTCTGCCTGCTCTTGGAGGTTTGCTCACTGCTTTGAGAAAAAAGAATAAAATGTGAGAATATTTACTAATGGTTCTTGGGATTGTTTATTGGCCTAGGCTTTACAGTGATAGTACTAAAATTTACTCACTCTTGAGTCCTACTTGGTATTTACAGGTCTGCAGATCTTGTTTCTTAAAAATTTAGAATTTATTCATATGCCACAAAATTTCACTGTTTTGAAGTATGCAGTTTAGTATGTTTTACGGTTTTTGCCACTAATTCTAATTAATCTTTGTTTATTTAGTCCTTATTTTAACATGAAAATTTTCTTTTGGATTTTTCTTTTTATAATTAATATGTTTAAAACGCCATATATACTCCAAGATTTACTCGCAGAAGCTATACGTTGTCCGTCTTCTTAATAGTAATACTTTCTTTTGTCTTACCTCACAGAATGTAGAAGTGAATTAACTTACTTAGCTGAAATACAGAGTATTGAAGTCAGAATTGCTTTTTGAAAATTGAATCTGGTATTTCCTAGCTCAGTGTTGTATTTGCATCTTATTATCTGTTCTTTTCCATTTACCTTGTTTAAAGTTCTTCTTCACTTAATGCTTCCTGATCAGGTAAATATTTCCATGAAGTTGCTTTGTTTCCAGTGGGAGCATTGGGTTTGTGCTTTATAGAGATGGTATGTTTATGATTTGTTGTGGCTTTTTGCCAGCAAAGAAGCAAATAATATTAGAGGTAAATAAAAACCAAGCAGGCCCTTGATCTGAACTGGCTTTTGTTAAAATAGTTCTGATTCTTATTTATTTTAATAATCAGAATCTTGACTATAGATGTTGTATAAACAATTTCCTGGTTTAGCTCCTTGGGGGAAATAAGTTAAAGGAATCATGCGTATGATGCTATGGGTTATCTTGATTTTTATTTATGGTTTTATATATGTACTCAGAAAAGCGGAGGGCCAGTGAAAGAAGAGAAGACCTTTAATGAGATGGATTGACTCAATGACTGTCATGATGGGTTCTAGTATGGCAAAGATGATATGGATGGCATAGGATAGGGCAGGGTTCAGATCTGTCGTTGATGGGGTTGCTACTAATGTAGTGGTAGTCAAGTAGCACCTGATAACAACAAATCCCATTGGAGGTGGAGATAAATCTTTATACTCATTTATTCAGTTAACAATTAGTTACTGGAAAAAAAAATTTAAAAAAAACCCAAACAAACAAACAAAAAAACCGAATTAGTTGCTGAGTATCTGCTCTCTGCCAGGCAGTGTTCAGGTTCTTGGGATACATCAGAGAACAAAACAGTCGTTTAAAAATTTGGTTTTAAAGCTTGTATCCTAGTGGGGTGAAATGGATAATGACAAACTGCACCTAAGTGTTTATGCAATATAGTAGTTGTCAGTATGGTGGGGTAGTTGTTGTTACTGGGGAGTTGGAGCCAAACCATAGCTGCCCTGCCAGCAGGTTTTCGAAAGGAGTTAATATCAAGGGAGGAGATTGTCCATCTTTCTCCTGTGGAGCACCTGGTAGATTCAAACTGCATACTTTTGGGTTGCCAGTGCAACGCCTTACTACTAGGCCACCAAGTTAAAAAAATTAGGACAGGGTGGAGGGATAAAGAGGGCTGAATGAGTTGTGAATCTGCATAAAGTGACTAGAGCAGCCTTACTGAGCCCACTCTGAATAGGACAGAGGGCCCTAGGTGCCGGGAGTTGGGCACTGAGCTGCCCACCAAGAGTTCAGCGTCCACTTGTGGGAGAAGATGAGGCAGTCTGCTTTTGTACAACTCTCAGCCTTTGAAGAAGCCTCTAGGGAAGTTCTGCTCTTTATTACCAAGTTGGTGTGAGGAGCAGTCATTGCACAGCTGTGGGGTTGGTTTTTTTTTTTGTTTTGAGCAGATACTTAGTTACACTTTTGTTTAGCTACAAAGTAACTTAAGGGAAAAGTGAGGTCAAGATTTTTTTTTTTGTTTTTTAATATGAGAACAAGAGCATATTTATAGGAGTAACTAACAATAGACTCATAGACCTTAATTTAATAAGAGACCAAAAATGTTGAGAGACAGGAGTAGGAAGTATTACTGGAACAGGGTTTCCATTGAGGTGATGCAAAGGGAATCTATGCAGAAATGAGGTATGGTTTTAGAGTGGAGCCTGTGTATTTTCTCTAAAGTGACAGGTTATCTAGCAAGGCTCTTCCTCTCTTCTTTTTGTGGATATAACTTTTAGTCTGAAGTCTTAAGTATTCTTAAATTTTAAGACAAAAATTGGAAATTTTAGTAAAGATGTTAACATGACCAAATAAAACCCAGTTTTTCTCCTCTGTATTTTATTGATTTTGATGTACACTATCTCTGACATCTGGTTTCCTGACTTGATAACGCTCATGATATGGCTAAGGGATAGCTGTAGAACCTTAGTTAGTTATTTTGTGACTTACTTGACAAGTAATATTTGTGGTTTTAAGTTTGGTTTTGTTCTATAGTCCCTAGAAAGTGGAGAGATCAAAGCCTTGGAGAAGTTCTTGTAATCAATTAGAGATCAGTCTGTCATTACAGACCAGGTCCTGTGCCACCTAGACAGTGTGTGCTCTGCTCACATGAAGATATGCTTCTCTCATCTTTCTTCAGATAACCTGTTTTCAGTTTGATTTATGTGCCATCTGAAATAGCAGTAGTTCTTCTCAGTAGCAAATTTGAAGATTTGTTTTTGCCAGAGAGCAATTTGGAAATCCTTTGAAGGATCATTGATATGATTTAGTGCTATCTGTCTTGTTGTTGTTGCTGATAGCCTTCAAGTCAAACACGACTCAGCGACCCAAGAACAAAAGGCCTGAAGCCCCTCTACAACCTTCAGAGGCATGCTATTTAGGAAGTGGATGCCACTTAAAAGTATTTAATACTATTCAGTAGTTTGTTATGTGCTTTTGAGTCAACTGTGAGTCATAGCAACCCTATGAAAAGTGAACCTGAACCCTGCCCTGTGCTATCTTCACAGTCTCTGTACCAGTTCATCTTGTGGCAGATCTTGCTGTCTTGCTCTGACCCTTCACATTTCCAAGCATGTTGTATTTTTCCAAGGACTGGCCCCTCCTCACAATAAATCCAAAGTATATGAGACAGCCTTACCATTCTTGCTTCCACTTTCTTCAAGACAGACCTGTTTGTTCTGTTGACAGTTCATGGATTATCCAGTACTCTTCTCTAGTACCACAACTCCAAGGCATCATTCGTCCTTACATCAAATTATAGAGATAGAAAGGGGCAACATTTATATTGCCATGCTTTGGAAAGGCATCAGTGATAAATTTACAGTGTATGGGGCTTGGCCTAATCAATAAAGTTTATTAGTCATATGTAAAATTTTTCAGTAGTTAACCTGTAAGTTTACATGGTTTTTGCCCATGAACTTGACCATTACTCGCTAGATGAAAAATATTACTCATCCCATTAGGGGAATCATTACTATCTGTTATAAAAGGAGCATATGTTTTATTGGTACCCAGTTATATTTTCAACCACTATTACGATTCTGAGCAATTGTAATAAGAAATTTTGAACATTCCACTGTAAGAAATTTTTAGTACTAAATATGATCTTTCTTGGAACCTAGTTCAGAATAGAAGGTCTTTTTGTTGTGTTTTATGTCCTCCCCTTCACTTTTTAGCCATGCTGTTTTATTACACTTACTTTTAACCTCATTAATGGTTTTATAAACTTCTTATTTTTGTCATCATCTTTTGATTAATTCTTTGTACCTGAAAATATTTTTACATAAAGCAAAAGAATGCTCCATCCTATGGATTTATTTCGTTTTATCTGTTAAGAATAGCAGTAGTTGGTCGCTTACCTTTTCACCCCCTACTGTTGGTGCAAATGTTGTTAGGAGTGTACATCACCATTTCTAGAAATCATTTGATCTGAGATTAAGGTCTAATATATTTTAGTACTTTGCAGACTGTCTGGTATGGAACTTTCTGGTTTTTGACTAGTTAGCAACCTGCATTATTCTGGTGTTAGAAGCTGGTCTTCCCTTTAATCTTTTAAATTGCACTGAATGAATGACACTGAACCCTAGTGCACAGACAGGTGCTTCTTTGCTACCCGAAAGGTTAGCAGTCCACATTCAGCAGCTCTGAGGGAGAAAGCCTTACTGTCTGTTTGCATTAGCAGTAGCTATCTCTGGGCAACTGTGGGTAAAACCTCATGGGCCACTCTGCTCTGTCACACAGGGTTACTGTGAGTCAGAAATGGCTCACTGGCACACAGTGGCAAAAATAGGAAAGGGTTTTAGGAGAAGGGTATTCTTTCTCCTAATGATAAGTCCTTTATTTTTTCCTTATACAATTAGGAAATTGTTCAGGTATCATAATTGAGACATTTTACAGGTGTTAAGGAATAGGATAAGAGTTCTAGAAAACCTGTATTCATCAAGTTAGCATTTGAGTTTTGAGTATGTGTGTGAAGATAAATGCAAATATCTTTTTTTCCCCCTTCTTCTTCTCCCTAGACCTGAAGAAGAATCTTCATCATCCTCCAGCGATGAAGATGAGGATGATAGGAAACAGATTGATGAGCTACTAGGAAAAGTTGTTTGTGTAGATTATGTTAGTTTGGATAAAAAGAAAACACTGTGGTTTCCTGCATTGGTGAGTAACTTTAGTATAAAAAAATTAATTTTTAAATATACAAACTCATAGAAACTTATTTTCTTACTAGTATTTTTCATAGGTACAAACTAAGAAGTAGTTATTTTTAACATTATTCTTTTCACATGAATATTACTTTAAAAACTATCTTTGAGTCCATGGGCCAGACTATTCAAGATAAGTAGTAAGAAAGGCAGAATTTTTGTAATTCTAGAAATTTGGTATCATCTGGTTTGGATAGTTCCATAGTAGATTTTGGATAGAAAATTCATGATACAAATTTTAAAACTCCAAATCCTCCATGGGGTTTAGTCTGTAAGGTAAGAACCAAGTGGTTCTTGGTTAACAAGGGTAGCTGGGAATTTTTCTTACTCGTCTGAGCCAGGTTGTTTGGTATCTTGATCTTACCTGTTAGATTCTTCTAGCTTACTCATGATTGAAATTGTCTCCTAGTTCAGTCTCTTGACATTCTTGCAGAGGACCCCTAAACCCCCCTACTTCACAGAGGTCTGCTCTCCAGCAGCAGTCAGTAGCCCTCCGGGCCCCAGCATTGGAGAATTCCCCTTGGCTCTCTTACAGCAACCCTCTGAGGTCTTGTAGATCCTCAGTGCTGGATTATAAGGAATGTCTTCATTATTATTGCAAGGTTTGTGCACCTCACACTGTGAAGGAAAGTGACAGAGTCTTTTGAGCTTTATGATTTTGCTATTTAAAATGGGAGCACATCCTCTGTTTCCATAAACATTTAATTACACTGCGTTTTTATGAAATTTTTTTGGAAGAAGAATAGGAAAGCAGTTTGTTTACATGACTTGAAGCAAATGCAGATTCAGTTCAGAATTAAGAATATATTGTTTTACAAGTCAACTCCTTGTGCCAGTTGTTGTTGTTTGATGCCGTCGAGTCGTAGACGACTCATAGCGACTCTGTGAACGAACAGCCTGAGCACTGTTCGTACATAGAGTTTCCGGAGGCAAGCCATTTTGGAAGTGGATGCTGCTCCTGCTTCCAGGCTTGATTTAGTTGGGAAGCTCCAGCCAACACTGTCCACCATGGGTGCCCATTACCACGATTGGCACATCACTGTTACAGTCTTGCCAGTAGAATGTATTTTTTTCTGGAAAAGATGTAGTTGGATAGGTTGTTTAAAGTTTTATTTTAAACTAGGCTGGAATGAATAATCACTGTTTTCTGAATTATTTTGATTATTAATATTTTTGTATCTGAATCAATTAGATATTGATCATCATCTCCTGGTTGCTCAGGTAAAGAGACCTCAGAGATATGAATGATTTCCTGGTCTCTGTTCCATGTTCTCATTATCTTACTAACTATAGACAAATTTCTTGGGATACACTTAATAAAATTTTAGAGTGTTCTCAGGATACCTACTTTAACACGTACTTGTTAAATACATCAGTTCTCGTATTCTCTACACATGAATGAATGTTTTTGCACGTATTGACTCGTTTACTATTATAGGAATTCTCTCTTCCTTGTAGTTAATGAAATTTTCTTAAGATTAATTACTCTTGGTGAGCTCTGGTGACCTAGTGGCAAGAAGCTGCACTGCAATCCTAGAGATGTGAGGTTTGAATCCACCAGATGCTCTGCTGAAGAAGGAGGGACAATCTCCTCCTGTACCAGTCAGATCTGATTTGACTTTACACACATTAAAAAAATAAAAAGTAATAAAAAAAAGATTAATTACTCTTTTAACCCACCTCATTTTTTCCCCACCTTAAAGGCTTATAATCTTTGACCTTACTCTCTTCTCCTCTTCTTGTTTGCTAACTCGTGAGAAATTTGGATGGGGGATTAACACACACTGTTCTATGTTTACATGCTTTTGTAGAAAATTTTATGTCCATAATAAATACACTGCCCATTCAAGTAAATGCCAGTGCCTAGTGACCCTCTAGGACAAAGGATGCCTGCCCCAGAAGATTTCCAATGCTGTAAAGTCAGTAGATTTTCTGATCTCTGAAAATTTATTGGCTTATGGAAGATTTTATCAAGATAATTCTAGTAAGCCTAAGACTGTTTTGCATAAAGGACACATGCTAAGCAGGTGGATCGCAAGTTCATTTTCCAGCCCAGAGAAATCTTCCTTCATAAATAAAGTCACAGGGGACCCCTCAGTTTAACTTTTTGTCCTATTTTTACCAGAATACAATCCGTGGGAATTATTTTTGAGTGCATGTGCATTTGGGAAGCTGACTGTGGATGACCGTAACTAGTTGTCTGCAGAAGACATGAAGGTGGGACTTGTGAGGATGAGGACTGGCTTACAGGTCCTTGCTGATGGAAGAGCATTTGGTTGGTTCCTACATCTTAGAAAGCACTTGAGAGACAGTGGCAACAGCAGTGGGATTGATTCCAGCTTGACAGTCTGAAACAGTCTTGTGACTGACAGGACCTTAGTCTGTGTCTCAGAGAGCAAGAGCTCAAAGGTACTCCACTTGTGTGTTTGTAGTTTAGGTTAGCTAAACTAGGTAACCACATACTTATAACAGATTAATGTCTCAAATGAAGAAGAAATTAATATGGAGCAGAAACATGTCTTTTTTACTGTTTATTGTGATAGATGTTTGGCATCCTTTCCATTGATCATATTTTGTATTATTTGTATCATGTTTTATATTCTTTAGTGCTTAGTTCAGGGTTTCATGCAAAATCAAGGCTCAGTAAATATGAGCTCTTATTTTAATGAATGTATTATATTCTTTATTTTACATTTGTACTTGTCCATGTAACTGTCCCTCCATCCACTTGTCTATCCATCAAACATTTGTTAGGCTCCTATTATACAAGGATTGTGCTAAAACTTTTCCAAGCATTGTTTAGGTATTTTTTATTTATCCTGATTTAGAGATAAGGGAACTGATTATTGGAAGATATAAGTAACTTGTCAAGTTTTGGGTTGAAGAGTAAGCTGAAACTTAAATATCAGTGTATGCTATAATTTCTTCATTCCTAAAAGCACTGAAACTCTTTTTAAAGAGTTTTGTTTTGAAAACATGTGATAGAAAATTGTTTTATGTCTCTCTCAAACAGAAAAATCAGTTTTTACTTGGGATTTAAATAGTTTCTAGTAAAAAGAAACTAAGAATTTATGCTGTTGGAAGGTTAGTGATCTGGGTCACCAGCCATTTCATGATTATTTCTATATAGGTTGTCAACAGTAAGGATTGAGATCTGTTGACCAGTGATGAATCACTGTGTCCACTTATAAAATGTTGTAAAATATTAGTCTTGACAATCATATAAACAGTCCTCATATTTATAATCTTTAAATTCTCTTTTACAAATTTAATACATTTGTATAAGAGATTTTAGTAGAAAACAAGCGCATTCTCTTAAGGACTATAAACAAACCACAGTCATCTCTATATAACGTTTAGCCTGGCCAAGCCGTAAGTTAAGCTCCTTTAAGTTAGTTATTGCCATGAAGTTGGAACCAACTCCTAGCTGACCCTTCAGCGGGTTTTCAGAGGCTGTAAATGACAGTGGAGATTGCATGTCGATATCCCATGGAGCAGCTGGTGCATTCGAACCACCAGGCAGCCTTTGCCTTTGGATTAGCAGCACAGCACCCTATGAACAATGCCACCAAAGCTTCTGAGATTCCTCCTTTAACTTTAATAACAACAATGGAAAATGAGTGATAATAGCCTCAGTTTAAGAGGAGGAAACTTTCACAAACCATCATTCTTTGTTCCCTTCACTAATATCTGGCAGCCTTAAAATGTTGAAGTTTAAGATTCAGAATTTCTCGTCTGTAGCCTCTTGAGAGTGATCTTACAGTTTTAGTTGCCAGCTGTCACAGAGATGATAAATTGAAATGCTTTTGGAACCAGAGCAGCTGTATACGTAAGCTGGACAGAGTACAACAGAGGGTGGTTCCAGGGGCAGGACTGGTGTGGAGCCTCCGCCTCACACCCTCACTGTCCACATTAGCCAAGAATGCTCACACATGCCCTGTGCACGGTGCTGTGTGGCAAAGAAAATGATGGGAGATGGGGCTCAAGGGCACAAGGTTTAGACTTTGTTTTAGCCTGCTGAGTTCCCAGTATTTATCTGTAGTCTGTGCTTCGAGCTTTCGCCTGCGCTAAGGGTTGGAGGGATGTCCCTCTATTCATTACTTCCATTTCAGTACTCTTCTTCTACCTTGAACTTGAAAGTCTCAGGAAAGTCTACTATATCTTCTATCTCCTGCCATACTTTCCCACATTGTTTCTTTGCATGGGATTGAAACCCTTTCAACCCATTTGTACAAAGCAGAAGCTTAACCATCTTCTGGTCAATTTTCGCACTCTCCCTCACATTCCTTACCCCTTCACTTTGTTCAGCTGTTGCTGTCAGTCTGTTCCATTAGTTATGTCATACCCAGATGATCGCCTTGGTTGAGTTTCCTCCAACCTGTTGTCCTCTGGCCCACTTTATTCATAGCAGTCAAAGTAATTTTATAAAAGCAGATCATGTCCGTTATCTTCCTGCACATGCTTCCCTTAGACATTTCAGTTGTTATCCTAAAAACTAGGGTATGGCCTACAGGCTCAGGAAAATCCGGACCTTTTTTTTGTGACTTACTCTCAGCCAGGATGAGAAGTTAGTCGCATTGGCCTTCTTTTGTTTCCAGGAGTAAGTTCCCCTGTCTCAGGGTCTCTGTATAATCTGTTTGCAGGTCTAATTCCTCTCCATCCTTCACATCTCAGTTGAAGTGCCTTCCTTGTAAGGTGATTTCCAACTTCCCAGAAGCACACTGTTCTTTTAAATGCACATACAAGGTGCAAGTTGTGTACCGCTGTTCCCCACCCTCATAAGGCAGTGCTCCCCCTCACTTCCATGTCCCAGCCCCCAAAAGTCCAGCTCTGTGTGGGAAGGCCCAGCGTGGGACTTGCCCTGTTGTCTTCACTAGTACAATCAATGCTGGCACTAATTAACATTTGCAGATGACGGAATGACCAATACCAACCGTGCAAGGCTCTTGTGAGTGGGCCAGAAAGTTTTTCTAGATATGCTGTGTGTGCAAAATACTTCTCATCAGTGAATTATTCAGTATAATTAGCAGTTAAGCAATACTACAAGAAAGTGACAATGTGTTTTTCACTATGAAAAATTTTGAGGACTTAATTTTGAAAGACTTAATTAGAACCTGTTATTTCTAGCTTCTCTCACATCTGCCACAGAGTAGTTGTTATTCTGAACCCAGCCCGGTCCTATGCCATCCTCGTCATCTCTGACACACTTGAGCCTTTTGTTGGAGTTACTTGTTGATCCATCCTGTTGAGGATCTTCCTTTCTTTTGTTAACGCTCACTCCATCTCATTGAAGGGCCTTTTCTCCCTTGCTGACCCTCCACCTTTTTAAGCATGGTGTCCCTCTCCAAGGAATAGCTTCTCTAAGCAGCATGCCCAAAATATGCGAGATTAAACTTTTGCCTCCAAGGAGCATGCTGCCTCCACTTTTTTCTTGGACATAACTGGGTTATTTTGGCAGCTCATGAGATCTTCAGTACTCTTCCTAACATCATACCTTAAAGGCATTGTTTCTTCTTCTGTCATTCTTATACATTGTTCAGCTTTCAGATGCCTAGCAAGTAATTGAGAAGACTATGGCTTGGATCACATCCTCCTTAATCTTTTTAAAATGACATCAGTGACCTTTAGATTTTTGGCTGAGGACACAGAGGGCAGTGAACAACAACATCCCTCTCTTAGCTGATCCAGGCTCTTGGCTAAGATGTGCCTTTCCATCTCTGCCCCTATGTAGTCTGGCTTTCTCTTTCTCACTTGAGTCTACATCCTGACTAGTTGCACTCATCTGCTGTAAGTTTGTGCCGTGCCAGGCAGCAGACCCTGTCACCCACAGAGACACACGCATGGAGGGCTGTGTTTAGGTGTTCTAGAGTCAAGTAGAACTCAGAATGACCCTGTTCATGGAGAGTGGGTGTGGAAAGTCACTTAGGTGTGTGCCTACGTGTGTGTGCCCACCTTCCCTCAGATGGAAAGTAGTTTAAACTTTAGCAGCTTTTAAAAAATTGATTCTTAATATAATGATGTATAAATGCACTTTTAGTTATAATAGTTTCACATTTTCTTTAAGGTGGTTTGTCCTGATTGTAGTGACGAGATTGCTGTGAAAAAAGACAATATTCTTGTTCGGTCTTTCAAAGATGGCAAATTGTAAGTATGTTTACTTAGTGTGACAAATTGTTATTTATCTGTTTATAAATATGTTCTACTTTTCCAGATTAGAATTCTATATATTGAATTAATTATTTCCAGTAACACAGTTTGATTGACGACATTAAGCTGTATTCTTTGTTCCAGGAGGGATCTCTTCTTTAGGGTGTAATGTTTTAGTCTGTCTTTCATTAGTCATTTTGGACCTCTTTTCTAAACTATACTCTTAATAATACTGTCTAACTTGGCAACATTTGCTTGTATAATAACTACTAATTTGTTGAGACAAATTTCGTAATGTCTTAACATGTCTAATGCTGTATTAATATATTTATTGGCACATTTCTTCAGAGTTTGTTTTGAATGTCTGCGTAAATCTTTCTCATATTTGTGGTTATATTAACAGGTAGGAACTATAATGGCCTTGTGGTAAGCTGCTGTGCTGCCAACTGGAAGGCACGTGATTCACATTCACCAGTTGCTATGTGGGAATAAGAGGAATAGTCTCCTCCTGTCTCATCTCCAGCCTTTGACAGCTCACTGGAGGCAGCTATGTTAGGTCCAACTTTATAGCAGTGGACAACTAGATCAGTGGTTGTGACATCTGCTGGCCATCTTTTCTCTCTTATTAGACTGCAGTGCTGTCACTGTGGGAGATGCTCTTGTAGCACTGAGTCATGCTTGACTACCAAATTAAAAGGCTGATATTTGGAACCCACCACCTGCTCCATAGGAGAGAGATCAGAATTTGCTTCTTTTTTTTTTTGCTTCTGTCAAGACCAAAACTGTTTATTCTGAGTCATCAGTATTGTCATACTCTAGTGTGCCATTGAATCACAGCTGACCCATAGCTGACCTTCCAGTGGGTTTTCAGAGACAGTTGTACAGGAGATTGCCCAATGACTTCCCAAAGGTTTTTAAGGCTAGGAATTCTTTACAGAAGCATACTGCCTCAGCTTTCTCCCACAGAGTGACTGGTGAGTTCAAACAACGAGTATTTTTGTTTACCTCGGAGTACATAACCACGGAGCCCACCACCTTGGAAGATGTGCCAAGATTCAGTGCTGTCCTTTTGTTGTTTGTATCATCAAGTTGGAAGTTACCCATAGCTGACTCTCCAGCTGGTTTTCAGATACACCAGTTGGAGAGTCAGCTATAGGCACATTGCCTGTCCTTCTCCCACAGAGCAGTTGGTGATTCAGACTGTGCCTTTGGGATTGCAGCGTATCTTCTTGCCACTAGGCCACTGGAGCTCCCTGTGATGTCCTGTAGGATTGCTGATTTGGAATCCAGTTGATGGAAACAGATTGGTTTTATTTTGTTTAGAAAAGAACTCTGGTGGCCTCATGGTAAGAAGCTAAGAGCCAATCATTGAAGAAGGATGAACAATCCCCTTCCATGTGATTAACTGCTTCTGAAAACCCAATAGAGGGCCAGTGTCTTTTTAAAACAAGCAAAAACCCTCACCCCTTTTAAAGTATCCATAATGAAAGGAAATACACATTTACTTCAAAGCCAGTTGGGTTGGGAGGAAGTAAGTGAAATTGTAACTAAGAATTGATCATTACTGTTGGTAGGGGGTATATGGGGGTTTATTCCTCTTTTTAAGTGCACACCACTTATGGAAATGTGGAAATTATAAAGAGTGAGAAAAATGTATTTTAAGTGATTCTCAGTGTATCTCCCTCATACACTCACTCATTGCTGTTGAGATAGAACCAAATCATACCTGACCTTCCCACTGGTTTTCAAAGGCTGTAAATCCCATGAGAAGAGATTGCCCATGTTTCTCTCAAAGCAACTGGTGGAGTCGAACTGCAAGAGAAGCACTGCCTTTGGGTTTACAGCTCCCTAGCAACTGTGCCACCAGGGCTTCTTTCTGTGGATTGATATAAAAAATAAATGTGCACAAAAAAACCAGACTAAGTACCTACTAGTTTAGAATAGGAAATATATAACAACATGTGAAATGTAGCCAGTAAATTATGTATTAAAAGTTTGTTACCTGCTAAGAATGCCATTTTTCCCCCATTGGACAAAAGAAAATTTACATTCTAAATTAGTAGATTAATTTTAATCTCATATTAATGAATCCATTCTTTGATTATCCAAAGATAATGGCTAAGTCTTAATATTATTAGACTTCCTTTTTTTATTAGATTAATACATTCTTAACATTTTTATTCATTACTGTTATTGCTGTACTTTTCAGTGTTGCATTTAGACAACTATTTGAATATACCTTGATGTTTATAAAGCATCTCTTAGGTGAAATTCTTTTGTAGCTCATTACATATTTTAGTATCTTGAGACTTACATCGCCAAGTGTAATCCCCTTTATTGTAAATCTCAAGTTATCTTACTGTTATTTTCTGTGTCTCTCTAGAGTGCATGTAGTTGCTTGTACTCTTGATTAAACTCTTCCATACTTTTGTTTTCAATTTTAAAAATATAGTACTTCAGTAGCAAGAAAAGATGTACATGAAATTACTAGTGAAAGTGCCCCAAAGCCTGATGCTGTATTAAAACAAGGTAAGAGTAATTTGAGAAAAAGTTACCAAGACTTTTGAATTTAAATATTTTTTAAAATATTTATAAGGATTAAATCTTCATTCTCTGTTTCTTAAAAGTGTATTTTTATTTGCTTTTACCTATCTTAGTTCTTAAAGTTTGTGTTGTCCTCTTGTGACTTCTGTATTCTTAAACCCATGTGTCTTAGTTACCATAATTTTTCTTTTTAACTTATAATCAGGGACATGAGAAGAAATTGCCCATTTATAAAGTAGCAAGTAACTAAATTATCAGCTATTACTGTAATTTGCTCTGTATCTAGTAAATAAAACATTGGATCCTGCAGATGGTAGAAAAAACAATGAGAAACATTTGATTTCCATTTAGCACTAATGAATGATCATCCCTAACTGCAGGACTCCAGTGGTGGTATTTCATTGAGGAATATGTTGTATAATTGCATTTTAGTTGGCTTTTGGTAATATAAATAGTTATTTGTTTTTCTTATGTTCTTACTCATTAAATCCAATAATACACTATATAAACTCTGAAAATTATTAATAATTTATGGATTTTCATTTGTTGCCATGTCTTAATGAATGACAACAATTGTTTATAAATTTTGTTGAAGCCAGTTATAAACAATTTTATTTCAGGTTTAACGGGAAATACTGAGAACATGTTAAAAATGTTCAGATGTTTTATGTTCATTCCATGGGTGGGCTTAGTTTTTTGGAAGTGTCATTAGATAAATGATTAAAAGAGTAAAACTTTTATTTTTATTCAGAGTAAGAAAACCTTCTATAATTTGCTTGAATCATCTATAAAGTGGGGGTACTAATAGTCCTTCAAGATTTCTGGTGGGCTAGTCATTAGGGAGTTGTGCTACTGCCCAAAGAGAGCATCTTTCTGGGAGTTCACATTCCCAGCAGCTCCATGGAAGAAAGAGGTGCAGTTTGAAGGCAATGAATTCTTCGAGTAATAGTGCCTGATTCAGCAGGTTGTTAGGGTGAAACGAGCTGCTTCATTGAAAAGCAATTATCTGCACTGGTGGGTAGTTACCACTTGTTTGTCAGGAATAATGATATTTTTTATTTGTCTTCATCAGATCAGGTGTGAGAATGTCTTCAGTTCATGCACTCTGTGGTTTCTTTGCAGCCTTTGATCAGGCACTTGAATTTCATAAAAATAGAACAATCCCCACTAACTGGAAGACTGAGCTGAAAGAAGACAGCTCCAGCAGTGAAGCAGAGGAGGAGGAGGAGGAAGATGATGATGAGAAAGAGAAAGGGGACAACAGCAGCGAGGAGGAGGCAAGTGTGTGCTGTGAACCTTAGTCTTTGCAGCGGTACCGGGACCTTCTGCACGAGAGACGGCTTGACGTGATACCTATTGGCAGTCAGTCCCTTAAGTCACAGCTTTAGTATCCTAGCAGGCAAAAAACTGTTCCTTAATCTTTTGAGTTCTTTGATTAATCATATAATTGAGAAAGTACACATTTATAGAACAAAACTCCTTTTGCAGACCTTTCACCATTTCCTATATAGTCATGTGTCACTTTGTAAAATGTTTGTTGTTGTTCACCGTGGGGTCGGAACTGACCTATCGCTGACCCTTCTGTGAGTTTTCAGAGGCAGTTAATTGAATCGGAGGAGGTTACCCATCCTTGTCTTGTGGAGCAGCTGTTGGATTTTAACTTCATTTTGAGATTGTAGCACAGCTTCTTGCCACATCTGTGTGTTTTATTGAAATTCCTAGAAAAAGTATGAGCTGTCTTGTGACTGACTTAACGTTAATGCAGTAGTCAGAATGTTCAAGTACAGATTGATAGCACTTGAATTCCGAGTCTCAAATCATCTTCTCTAATTCATCATAGACTATAGTACTGAATGGCTCAAAAAGAAATCCTTTTTTTTTTTTTAGTATAGCTTGAGGCGGGTCCTCACTGAGCTAATTCTGCGGTGGTGAGGTACTCTTAACAGGCTTGCTGGATGATTTCATAACGGAGTTTCTTGATGGGTGTACATGCAGTGATAGCTACTTATATTTAATAGTTAAGTGAATTGTATAAATAAGGTTAGGAAATTGAGACCGTTTAAATATAATTTCAGGTAAGTTTTGAATTTCTGCTCATTATTTGTGAAAACCAATTTCATGAGATAGGATGATTTTTGAGATGATGATATGATGGTATAAGTAAGCTGTAAAGAGAGCCAAACTTCAACAGAAAGTGGACCAGGCCCTCTCCTGCTGAGTCGTGGCAACCCCCACACTCTCTAATCACCTTTTGTAAATGTTAGTGGGCATAGACTGAATATCTTTCACCAGGAGGGTCTGGTGGATTTGAACTTCTGACAGCTCCATTCCCTACTTGTTTCTCTCATTCCTCCTCTTGATGCCTCCTCCACCTTTGACCACTGCTCTGTGGCAGTGTTGGATTACATTACTCGCTGCTTGCTCCCCTGCTGGGCACATATTAACACTATCACATGGCTGGCCTTCCTGTGCTCAGCCTGGCACCCTGCTGGTCAGTTTGTACAACTTGATTTATGTCATTGTAACCCGATTTATATCTTTGTAAGTGTTACATGACCCATCAGCCCCCTACACCTGCAGGAAAATGAATCACTCTTAACACTTTCACCAAGAAATCTCTAAGCCCCTTCAGGATAGGGACCCTGTGTTACTCCTATTTTATATCCGCAGAATCTGTTATATTGCCTCATATGATCAATAAATGTTCATTACATAATCTTTTGTTGTTTAGATTAGAGTTGTGCTTTACACACTTAGATTTTTGGAACAGGAATAAATTTGATAATGTTAGTCATACTGTACCACAGGAACATTAAGATATTATCTGAACATTCATTTTCTTTCCCCTTATATCTGACTTCCAGTTGTTGGAGTGCTGGTAGGTGGTTTGTAGGGTGTTGCACTGCTAGCCTCAAGGCTCGCCCCTCCTTCCAGTTCTCATCCACCAGTGACCCTGAGAAGGAGGAAAGATGGGTCATCTCCTCCATTGCTATTCCAGCCTTCAAAGCCTGGGGAAGGGTTGTTGGTGAAGTGACTCAGCAGCTTTTGAGTCCATTTATTGGCGGCTGTGGAGTCGTGACCTGCTTTTTTTCTGGGGGGGACGGGGGGACACCTCATCCTCGTCCTGCACCTTCTCACTGATAGGTGGCGGTCTCCAGGGTTTGTGGTGACCAATTTTGGAAATAGCTCATCATCCTTTGTTCTAGTTTAGAAGCACTGCTGAAGTCCTCCTATGAGGGACTAGAGGGGTGCACATGGGTAGTACTGGCTGTGAGTTTTTACTAGACCCATCATATGGATTCTTTTCTCCTCAGTGCGTGAGTCTAGTCGTTCACTAACGTGAGTTTTGTTTTCAACTTCATGTCAGTCTACTGGTTTGTGAATAAAATGGTAGATCTCACCCCATTGGCTCTTGCTCACAGACACCCTCTGAACCACCATCTGGCCCTGTACCATCCTCAGTGGCGCCACTGTGGGCAAGCCTGTCATGGCAGCCCAGGGAAGTCCAGTTTGCGGAGATCCTCTACTCTTTTTGCCCACCTTCTACTTTAGCAAGCATCATGCTCTTCCCCAGGACTGGTCCTACCCAGTGGGATGGCCACAGAAATAGCACTCCTAACTGTATTGTCAAGAGAGACTAGGCCATTCTGGAAGTCCGTGCATATTCTGTGCTTTTTCCATCACCCTGATGCAGATGCATCAGTTCTTTATAGGCTTCTGTAGTCACTCCCAGCTTTAGAGCACACATGATGGCCATGGCTTTGAACTTCTGATTTTTTAAATAATGTTATAATGTAGATTAATTTAGCCAATTAAAAAGTATGCTTTTAATGGAATTTTGAAAACATGTATGAATCAGACAAAATGACTGGAGCCTAACAGTATAATCACTCTTTGCATTTATTCCCGATTTTTTTTTGTGGCACATTCCACCATTCCATTTTCTCACGTCTGACTCAGCACCTAGCTGTGCAGACACTTGAGTGCTTAGGAAGTGTGTGGTGAATGGACGCATGCCATTGCCTTCATAAATTCTGAAGTCTCATTGCATGCAGGTTGCACAGAACCACAGGCCCTGCAACAGCAGCAAGAAGCTGGTCCCTTCCTTGTAATTGATAAATTGGGGAGCAATTTTACAACTTGAAAATTTCCCTAAGTCTGAGGTAGAGCAGGTTTGTTTCCCACTTTCCTGATGTTACAAGCCCACCCTACTATGCAGCAGGGCTTATGTCAAGCAGGATACTTGTTTTAAAGTTAATAGCACCTCAGTTTATAAATTCTTAAAGGTGCAATAAAAGACTGATGGTGATACTAAACCCTGACCCATTTTAATTATAATTAGAGTAGATCTTGTGACCCTGGATTTGAGAGTAGATTTCTGATATGATAAAAAGTTCATTAAAATTTTGTTAGTGTCATCTTTTTTAATATGAGTATTTATATTCCATTCTGATTACTGAGATAACTTTTAAGAGTACTTTTGTAAAGTATATAATGTCTAGATATTTCTGGTTTTGGACAGCTTACTGTTAAATCCATTTCTGTGTGCTACCAAAATCCTTTGAAATCCTTTTAATTAGTATTAGTTTTTACTGTGAGCTAAAAATATTCTTGTGTTATTACAATGCTTAATTAAGGAATATTTTTCTTTCTTCTGTGATTAAAATTAGGAAGAGGTGGAACCATTTCCAGAAGAAAGGGAGAACTTTCTTCAACAGTTGTACAAATTTATGGAAGATAGAGGTAAGTACTTGGGTTTTGTTTTTTAATTTCTCACTGGTCTTGTAGGTTTCAGGTAGACAGACACTATTTTAAAATAAGACTTCCTATCATTAAATTTCATGTCACTGGCAATCACCAGCACTCATGAGCACCTAGCATTGTTCCTCTCACACAAGTGCTTACTGAAGGAGGAGTTGGAAGAATTCCATGGGATTGTGACCATAGGTGCATAAATGTTTGTATTTCTTGCTATTCACCTACCCACCCATGAGGCCCCCAAAGGATGCTTACTCAGGTGTAGTGATAGGATGGAGTCATAAGAAACATTTTACACAAAGGTCCCTACTGAAAACCTCTCCCGAAATCACCACGGTGCTTTGTTTGAAGTAAGCATGTACATATGTGTTGTTTGGATGGACATATAAGAAACAACAGCTGCGCTGATCCTTGCATGAACTATAAGTCATCCTGTGACTTGACCCCATAAAACTAACCAGAGTTAGTTGTTGCTGTTGGTGTTATTATGTGCCATCAAGTCAAACAACTCACAACTGACTGTCCATGGTTTTAAATCCCAGAGGAAATTGCTCATCCTCTCATGGAGCAGCTGGTGGATTCAAACCGTGTGCCTTTGAGATTGTAGTGCAACTTCTTCCCACTAGGGCATCAGAGTTCCCTAACTAGAGTTACACCATTTCTACAATCTAGAAATAAAAGAAAGGTAACAGAGTCTCAGTGAGAAGCTTGCACCAATTTATTACATGCTCTTGTTAAAGAAATGCAAGAATTGTGAGCTAAGGAAAGGGTAAACTTACAATTTGCAGTGATTGCCTTTCTTGTCCTCCATCATGTGTGACCCTGTCACTGTGCGTGCCTCCCTTGTCCTTGCCTAAGAAGGTGCTGAAAGGTGGGGACGAGAAGAGGTAGACATCTATAGCTGAGGACAAGAAAACAGTATATTCTGTGGGAATGGATGTCACTTAAATTTCTGTTTGTAATGCTGATAAGAAGAGCTGATTCTCTTTTCTTCCCGCCCTCTCATTAATTACAGTGTAGAGATCTCTATAAAGATCTTTAATTTAAAAATGTCTGCGGGGGAGGGGTAGGCAGGGAGAACAGTTGAACAGTGAATGAATGGAAGTCCTAAGTCTCTAAACTTTGATTAAAATTAATTAAAAAAAAAAGAGAAAGAAGAGAAAATGTCTTCAGTTCTTGTATTATTTCTGTTTGTGAATGGAGGTTTGGTCTAAGAAGGTATATATGGCAGAAATGTTCCTGAAAAACTGTAAAATAATAAAGTTATTTTTATTAACATTGAAAAAAAAAAGAAGGTATATATGTTCCTTCATAGGCTTTTGTATGAGAGAAAAGAAGAAAATCTCTCCTTATAGAGGAGATGAGAAAATGGGATTGTGCCAGTCACATGCGTTTGCACAGAGCCATGTGTGGATTGCCTTTTTCTGCTCTTGCAGCGTCTCCACACAGTGACTGCAGCAGTGGGCTCATGTGTGGCAAAGTTGATGAGGATGGCATGGGATAGAGAGTTTGATCTATTGTTCATAGGGTCACTTTGAGGCCTCTGAGACCCAACCACACCCAGCAACAACCACTTCCTGGTGGCTTGATAGCTTGATGCACTCCCACTGTGTTAGAGCACAACACAGCTAGAGCCTTTCCACTGCAGAATCATTGTGAGGAATAATCATGAATTCGTGAAACTAAGAAAGCCCTTGAACTACAGCTTTCCCTGTGATTCAGTTTCATAACAATTACTTAAACATTTTCTCCAGTTTTACCTAAATCTTATTTCTCTCATTTAAAATAAATTTCGTTTCTTGGCTGTTCTGTTTGTTGTTATTTTGTTCATCAGGGGCAGTAAGATGGAATGAAATTATGATTTTAAAATTGTGATGTGTGGAAAAACAAAGATCAGATGGACTTGGTTTTGTTGTGGTGGTGATGTGTGCTGTCAAGTTCATAGCTGACCCTCCAGAGGCTTTTGTGGCTACAAATTACGTGGGGAAAAATTGCCCAGCTTTCTCCCAAGGACCAGCTAGTGGATTAAAATCACCTACCTTGGTATTGGCAGCGCAACTCCCTACCTTCTGGCCACCAGAGCTCCCCATAGACTTAATAGACATCATGTATTTGATTAATAGTCAAATTTTTCCATATATATCCTTTATATGTATGTATGTAGGTAGGTAGGTAGGTGTGTATGTATGTGTACTCATTGGTATTATGTGAATCCTTACAAATCTAAAATAAAAAATAAAGTTTGATTCTAATATATTTCATATTTTCAACAGGCACACCAATTAACAAAAGACCTGTTCTTGGATATAGAAATTTGAATCTCTTTAAGTTATTCAGACTTGTACACAAACTTGGAGGATTTGATAATGTAAGTATTTGAATTAAATGTGAAATGGTTTTCATAATAACATTCTCTCTCAAGTACTTCCGGACTTAAAATGATTTCCTATTACTATTTCCTGTTAACCAAAGAATATAAAGACAACGAACATGCCAATTTAATAGAGCTACCCTTCCACAGATAAGGTTGAAATTTAATTCAAGATTAGGTTTCTGATCTCCCCCCCCCCCTTTTCTTTTTAAAGTTAGTTTTCTCATTTCTAGTTCTGCTTGTCAAACTCCTGAGCCCCCTGGCTGTGGTGGGATCACAGTGTCCTCCTGGTGAGGGCAGTCCCGTCTATGTCCCTTGTCTTCCTGGCATGTGTATGTGTGTGAAACATTCAAGATATTTTTGTTGAAATGACGTGGAAAAACTGTTTTCAGGTTACTGTGACATACAGGTATCATCCAGCAGACTGTGTGATGCATTGTAAAGTGCTTATTACTTAGAAATACTCCTTGTAGATTCATTCACTGATTAGTTTTATGGAAAAGTATAAGTCCTTTAAGGTTTTTTCTATTTATTTTTACAAAATTTAACTTAGGAACTCGTGATATCTTGTTTACTTGTAACAAGGCTTATCATTGGAAAGTTAAATTACCTAAAATATCTTAACATTTGCAATTCTCTGAGATTTGCTGAAATGCTGAAATTTATATTACAACATTGTAAGTCAGAATTCTTTTTCTAATTAGGCAGATTTTTAGTTTAGAATTTATCAAGATTGCTATTTTTCATACCTTTGAAATTTCAGCATGTATGTGTGTGTGTGTGTGTGTGTGTGTGTGTATGTACACCATTTTTATATATATACTATTTTTGAGATTATAAGTAAGGTCCATTCCTGACTATTTCTTTAAGAAGTTTTGAGTCAGATGGAGGAGTTTTTATTATTACTTGAGTGCAAGAAAATTCTCATACTTTTTTAGTGATTTAAAAGCTGCAGTGATTGTGATCAAGAATTTGCTTCAGAAAAGTCACATTACTTCAGTTCCTTAAGTGTGAGGGCAAATTTCTGTAGTATTGAAACAGGGCTTCTCAGGGTGGTGTCCTTCTCAAGGGAGTGACTGACCCCCACCCTGACTGCCTGAGGCTCCCTGCGGGCCTGCCCATCACCAGCCATCCCATCTTTCAAGCCTTCATTCCTGGATTTCCACTGGTTTTCCTGTGACAAATCATGCAAATAGTAAAAACTGTAGCCTGTCATTGGTAACCCTGTTTAGGGACTGTCTAGACACATACATATGTGCGTAGATACCCATGTAAACTTACTGTACAGCCAGTAATTTGATCATATTCTCACCATCTAATTCGGGAGTTTTCATTTTACTTTGTCCTTCAGATTGAAAGTGGAGCTGTCTGGAAACAAGTATACCAAGATCTTGGAATCCCTGTCTTAAATTCAGCTGCAGGCTACAATGTCAAGTGTGCTTACAAAAAGTAAGTGTGCGTGCTCTGTAGCTCCTTTATGTGCTTGACCTGGACAGCGAGGTAGCATGTACCATGCCTGGAGGGCTTTCTTCTTGGAAGAGATGCACTGCCATAGGGTGCTTTCTGAGATTACCTGTGGAGTGTTCAGAGCTGTGAGACACTGTGGAGGAAGTGTTGTGGCAAAGTAAATTTGGAAGGTACACAGACCTTAAAAAGCCCATGTCCTAAATTTGAAGAAACCAAGGCTTTGTTCCTGGTTTTGTCATTTTTCAGCAGTCTGTACCCTTGTATCATTTATTTGGCTGAACCCTCTTCATTTGTAAAATATGAACATTTCTTTCACAGGATTACTCTGATGCCTTTATGAAATTTTAAAAATTAACAGGCTCAGTTTGGCAAGGAAGACCCAAACCTGACCAGACCCTTACATGGAGTCAGTGTCAGCTCATGGGGACCCTCTAGTGGGTTCAATGATGAGTGCGCATCATTCTTGGTGGCTTCAAACCACTAACCTTTTGGTTAGCCCCTCTTCACCCACTAGGCCACTGGGGATTCTTGGTACATAAGAAATGCTCATTAAGTCTTTGCCTATACAGATCATAGCCCCCCCCCAAAAAAAAAATAGTCATCAAATAGCACTCATACTTAGCAAAACTCAAACCCAGCCCAGGCCTTCTAGTCTGTTCTGCCTCAGAGCAACCATCTGGCAGGTTTTCTCTCTCTCCTTCCTTCTATTCCTCCCTCCCTCCCTTTCTCTCTCTCATTGCCTTTGAGTTCGTTCTGACTGATAGTTGACCCTCCAGCTTAGGTTTCCAAGACTAGAAAGCTCATAGGAGATTGCCCATCTTTCTCCTGTGGATCAGATGGTGGATTTGAACTACCAGAGAAGCACTCTGTTTGATTTCGGATTGAAACTCTATACGGACTACACCACCAGAGCTCCTTCAAACCCAGAACCCTACCCTGTGCCGTTGCACTGAGTCTAAATAATGAGGATCCTCCCTTGGATTTCTGAGGCCAAGAAGACTTTCTGCCCCTCATCCTTACTGTGATCGGCTGGTGCATTTGAACGTCCTCCACACTTTCAGTCAGCAGTTCAGCACTTAGTGTGCTATGCCACCAGGGTGCCTTATGACTTGTATATAATAGTTGCTATTAATGCTATTATTTTACTTCATACTATAACCCAGTTTTTAAAAGGAGTTTTTTTTTCTTGTGAAGCACTGTCTGTTTTTTGAGAGGGCAGTTAAAAAGGTGGGGCGAGACTAAACTGAAATGAACTAAAATGGTCACATAAGTCAGTGTCTGGGAACTTTTAAAAAGGAAAAGGAATGCATGCACGTTTGAAAGAAACAAGCTTTTACCAACTGGACTTTATCTTTATGTTTCCAGATACCTGTATGGTTTCGAAGAGTACTGTAGGTCCGCCAGCATTGAGTTTCAGATGGCATTGCCAGAGAAGGTGGTTAACAAGCCATGCAAGGAGTGTGAGAATGTCAAAGAACTGAAAGTTAAAGACGAGAAAGAGTCCGAGATGAGTGAGCTAAAGGTGGAAGAAGAGCAGGATAGAATAATAAAAGAAGAAAAATCTGTGGAGGATGATATTGAGAGAAAAGAAAATACCAAACCATTACTGGTAAATCAAGATACATTGTCTTTTGCCTCTTTAGTACTTGTTCTCCATCTTTTAGAAAGTTCCCAAAGTTAATTTCTTATATAGGTCATGTTAACATTGATCTGAACACCTACTATTTTAGGAATGGCAAGAGTTCCTTAAAGTGGTAACCGTCTCAGTGTTAGTGTTGATTGACACCAGTGACCTCCTGGTAATGATTATATCATAGACTTAGGTTGAAAACTTTTACTCTGTTGGTTTAGTTCCTCTGATCTTTTGTAGGGAAGTAAAAAGACCTTATTAGACTCTGTGTCTACACAGTCCGATCAGGAGAAAGAAGTGAACATGAAGCCATCGGCTGAGGATGAGGACGTGCAAGATAAAGATGAAGAAATGGCTGGGCTTGAGGGACCCCTCAGCCTAGAGGTAGACGCTGAGGAAGAAAAGGCCAAATCGGGGTAAGAAATCCATTTTTGGTTCAGATGCGTTTTGCTGGATGAGTTCTTGTCTTCTACTTTTGTATGTGTGTCTTTGTAGGAAGCTAAATTATATTGGCAAAATTGAAAATAATTGAGTGACTTGCATTTATCAGGTAAAAGAAAGCATTTGGCCCTTTTCAGAGACCCAACTAATTATTAGCAACTTTGTTAAAAGATCATATTTTTGATCGATTCTTCTTGCTCTCATCATGGAAAATGAGAAATTCTTTAGCTTGGGAAAAGTTATTTGCAGTATTAAGTCCTGCTGACTGAGCAAATGTCAGACACATGGGACTGTGGCCTTCTTCCATGTCACAGAGGTGGTATGTTGGCTGGAGAGGGTGAGGATTGTATGTGCTGTGTAAGCAAGTAAGGAAAAAATGATTAAGTCCTCACAATAAGTTTTAATAGTTTAAAATTGTGTTGCGTTTTATGTGACATTAGCACTTGTTTTTTGTCTCTTTGGAATAATGGATTATTTAACAATACTAGTTACGTATTGACTGTGTACTCATTGGGTTTTAAATCTTCTGGTTTAATCTTCTAAAGTTTAAAGAACTTAATTCCGTTATTGCTCTCTTTCAATAAGCAAAGCACAATTTCTTAGGTATTATTATTTATATTTCGGTGTATATAAATGTGTATTTAAAGTTCTTTACTGTTACTGAAGACTATTTTAGGTGTTACGCATCTTAAGAACTTTGCTTTTTAAAGATCTTAAAGTATCTTGATAATTTCGATATATTTTTTTGAAATTTTGACCATAGTAGGGAAAAAAAATAGACATAGATCAATATAAGGTATTTGTTTATTATACTTGGAGTTACACTTGTGTGTGTGTGTGTGTAAGTGTATTTTAATTAATTCTTAACTGCTACTTGAACGCTATTTGAACTATTAAAAAAACTTAATAAAAGAGTCAACTTTTTGCCTTAAACTTTGATTTTTAAATTTACAGTTGTTTCTGGAACATCTGTTATCCACAAGACACTGTGGTAAACCTATGTTTCTCCTTTTCCCCTAATTATCTTTATTTTTCAACATGGTGTTTCAGTTTATTCTGTGAACTAGGTTTTTGATGAATTCTTCTCATTGATTATATATACTTTAATTTACTACATACTCGTAATGTATTTATAGTATAGAAGGACATTTTCCTGCTCTGACTGTCCTAATTTACTAGCTTTTTGGAAACATTATATATTGAGAATATCTAAAATTATTTTTTTTTAATTTTATAAATGTAATGGAAAAGTACATAATCATGAGGAATGAGTATGTAGATCTTTTTTTAATTACGTAAGCTTTCTGTATGTAGTCGCCTACTTGCAAGAGTTCTGAACCTCCTTCCTCCGTATCTATACCAAGGATGAAAAGGACAGTGACACGTGTCCAGCTTCTGTCCGGTGCTGGCTGCTTGTTGGCCCCTGGTTGAGTCCTCCTCAGGAATACTCTGGGTTCAGGAGGACCACCCCATAGGGTTGTAATTGCTGTGACCTTATGTGTGACCTCTTGGAAGAAGGTCACCAGGACAGCCCGCCTTAGCTAGGAGTTTGTGTCCCTCAGGACTCTGGCTGGCATTTTGTCAGGTGCATTTGAGTCAGCTCTCACCCATGGTGACTTGTGAGTGCGCCATCCTCATCCTCTCCTGTGTCTGAGCACATTGTTCCCTGTCACTGTAGGGGGTACTTGTCTATAGTAGCTTGTTCTAATAGTGTTTCATACATACAAGGAGCTTGACTCCAGAATCAGAGTGTTTTGCTAGCTTTTTATGGATTCAAATGGGAAAAGGAAAATCTTTGCTGATAACTAGTTGTTTTCTCTAAAACACACTTAAGTCTGAAAGGGCGAGAGAGACAATAAGAGTGTGAGTGTGTGCTCAGTAAACATTTAAAAATTCCCAACATGTAGCAGTTGCATTTTACACTTTAGAAGGTGAATTTCTTCACATTCTCAGTAATTATCCTGAATCTTTAGGGAGCAACTCAGTATTTTCTTTGGCTGAATGCCTATAATCCTGCTATTACATCTTTAAACTTCAGTGTATTATTTGAGTGGATTCCATTTGGGTTGTATCTGAGGTCCATATTGAAGTTATTTGTTATGATCTTCATTCCAGATTGAATCAAAGTTCACCCTGGTTGCCACTTAGAAGATGATTCTTTTTCTTACTGATATCTGCCAGTTGTGCTCAGTGCATTATAAATATAAAATCTAATTTAGCGTTTTTCCTTTTTCAAAGGTTGGATTTTCCCTTTTTTTCGGTCTCTTATATTCTAAAAATTAGAAACAAGTAGTGAACTAAATCTTTGTAGTGGCCCTTAGCATACAGTTCCATTTCTTCTGCTCTATTGAAATGTGGTCTTGTTATTGGAGATACGTAGTGATCTTTCATTAGAAAATCCATATGTTGGGGGGGGGGCGTTTGTTGTGTGTAATATTTACAATTTCTTTATGATTTGTAGAATAACAGTATGCCATCTACAGCACCATTTCTGATAATTTCAATACTTTAGCCTTCCTAATTATTATTTTTTAATATGGAAATAGTTCATATGCTTCCAGTGATAGAGGTCATGTTTTTAATCTCAAAGTGACAAATAATTTGTGTATAAATCAGTCTTGACAGAAGAAATAATTTTTTTATGGATTTATTTCATAGACTTTGGCATCTGTTTGATATATTTACTTTATTCACCACCTTGATACTCTGGTGAAGTCAGTCTTCATTTCACTTTTCTATTCGGCTTCTTCTGCTTCTCCCTTACTGTATTAAAAGGAAAGAGGGAAAAAGCATTATAGTGCTGTCTATATTGTTTTTATGGATTATTTTATTACCTCTATATAATTATATAATTAGGAATGGTGAAAGTATGTTGTTGCTAAAAAAATTTGCATGTGAGATTTTTAAACTGAAATTATAAGTGGAAGACTTAGATGTACCTACATAGACAAACGGAGCTCTGGTTGGTGGGGATTTGCACTGCCAACCCAAAGGCAGGTGATTCGAATCCATCAATCACTGCAGGAGAAAGATGGGCAGTCTCCTCCCATGCGAGTCACAGCCTCTGAAAACTTGTCAGAGGGTCAGCTACCATACGGATTGGCCTCAAACGCTAGGAGTTGAGTTTGAGTTGCTGCATCAATGTGGGACACTGGTATTTCAGTGATTAAGCTTGAAGTTAACAAAGTCTACACACTTCTGTCTCCTGGTTTCTGCTTTAAAATATTTTTTCACTTGATTGTAATAAGTATAGGCATACTATAGTGCAGATAAAAGCTTACTAAATAGTGTCACGTGGAAGTAAAAGCCTAGTGCTTGAAAGATTGGTAATTAAGATTTTCTTGAATCTACTTACTATCTTTTAACATCTCATATCAAAAGCATCGGTGCTCTGTTCTCAAAATTGCATGATTTTGAGAAGATCAAAATGACTATAATGTTTTTAAAATAGTCTGGTCTTAATTTTCATATATGTGAAATTAGTCTCATGTGACTTCTTTTTGAACTTGAAAGTGGAAAGAATTTGTAAAACGAAACTTTAAATGACTATGTGGTAAATAACAATATTTGAGGTGAAGTGTAGAAAGCTAGAAAAGACAAAATTCTTTGTGATGTTAGTGTGAAGTTGGAATATGCCTATAAAAGATAATGATTCGCTGTTTATAACATTTGAAAATTTTGGTGTACTGCCTTTTTGTTGTTCTGAGACTAGCCATATTGGTTTAAACATCTTGAGGCAGGAAATATTTGAATGAGAAGTAAGTTTGAGCTGGGAGATAGAATGTCTTTTGGTTTTTGTTCACCTGCCCTGTCAAACACTTAGACACTAAAGCACGAGCAGATTGTTAGAATGGGCCTTAGTCGTCTCTCACCACTCATCACAACTGGCATCCTCCTAGCTAATGAACATTTCATTTCCTTTTGAATCTTCATTTTCTCTAACTTTATCTTTCTGTAACCATGATCATCTTACACAGTTTTAGTTTTTAGTATTTAATTGAAACTCAGAAAATTTCATACACATGGAACCTGCTGTTCCCGGAACAATCACAGCCACAATATTTATCAGTATATGTGGTTTGGAACTGAAAAGCTTATCAACTATCTTTTATTAACTCTGCAATTTTTTAAACCTTTCAAGAGATGAAACGAATAAAGAGGAAGATGAAGATGATGAAGATGCAGAAGAGGAGGAGGAGGAGGAAGAGGAGGAAGATGATGATGACAACAATGAGGAAGAGGAGTTTGAGTGCTATCCACCAGGCATGAAAGTCCAAGTGCGGTATGGACGAGGGAAAAATCAAAAAATGTATGAAGCTAGTATTAAAGATTCTGATGTCGAAGGTGGCGAGGTCCTTTACTTGGTGCATTACTGCGGATGGAATGTGAGGTAACTTGAGTTCTGGCTGGTGCTTCTTACCTACAGACACTTCTAAGATACTTTTCTGTTTTAAAGTTGAATTAACCAATTACAGGTGTGATAGTGTTCTAATTGAGGTCATGATACCATACTAAAAATACTTAGATTTTAGACTATAACTATCTCACTTTGGGACTTCCAACTTACTGTTTTGAGTACTTACAAGATATTGTAATATTTAAAAAAAAACCCCGAGGTGTACACAGTTGTTACTTATGTAACACATAAGTACTGAGAAAACTTTCTTTAAAATATGAAATGATAGAGGAATCTCTTAAACAAATTGAGCTTCTTGATGTTTGCAAACCACTTATCAGGCTGCTTGCTCTCCTACGTTTTAACTACTTTGCTACAATAACTCTTCTTTGTAATCTTCTTAACTCATCTTGTTTCTTCCTTTCAGTAGCCAGGGATTTAAAAGTTTAGATTTCTTAAGCCTTCTTCACTTTCAGGCATTACTTCCTCAGTAATAGCCTTTGTGTTTCATTCTTGTTAAAGTCTCAGACATTTATTTGTATCTCTGATACAGTATGCTTAAAAATAAAAGCCAAGTCTGGCTTGACTGAGGTAGAATAAACTTTCTAAAGGTCCCTAACCTTAGGGAGCAAACGAAAGACCTTACTGAGGTTCCGCTTTAATGTGTTGACGGACTTCATCTTTTCCTACATAGTTATCTTTGATTTATACAGAGGAATTTTGTATTTCACTTGTGTCCAAGGTGGTGGTGGTGGTGGTTATGTGCCGGCAAGTCTCCTGTGGCTCATAGCAACCCTGTGTACAACAGCCCTAAACCCTGCTCTATCCCTTGCCAATCTTATTGTCTCCGAAATGCCTGTCCCCATTACCCCTGTGATTGAATCCATCTATCTCACTGAGGGTTAGGTAACTAAATTTTAAGAACATCTCATTTAGTTATCTTTAGAGAATAATTGAATTCATTTTGAAATATTTGATATTGTATTTGAAATACAGCTTAAGACAAAATTGTAATCCGTGAAAAATTAAATCTAGACATTTTAAGTGGTCTTCTTATGGTATACCTCTCTTTAGTGAGTAATGTAGTTCTTATGTTTTATACTTAATTATATTCTGTATGTTTTTGGGAAGTTATTAAGAAAATACCATCTAAAAATCTCTGCTACTAAAAGTCCGTTTTTGGTTGTCCTGTTGTATAGATAGCTTTAGAAATACGATCTAATCTGGTAACTTTTTTATTTAGGGAACATACAATTCTGATCTTTCTGGTACTTAGAAAAAGAAAGGCCACAAGGAAATACTCTAGAGTGTTTCTTATGATTCAGTCTTTATTTTTGTGACCAACAAGTTAGAATACCTAACATTAGTACACAAGTTTTCCAGATAATCACTTTTACCGCGGTTTGCAGTGTACCCAGGTGACTGCTGATTCTTGTGCAAGATTTTCCTAACTCAGAGGTCTGTTGTTGTTATGTGCCATCAGGTCGGAACCAACCAACTCATAGCTGATCCTCCAGTGGTTTTTGAGAGGCTGTAAATTACATAGGAGGAGGTTGCCTGTCTGTCTCCCTTGGAGTAGCTGTTAGAATCGAACTGCTTGCCTTTGGGTTGGCAATGCAGCTCCTTAACCAGTAGGCCACCAGAGCTCCCTCAAGGTCTGGCTATTAACAATTATGTTCAAAACAAGAGCTTCATTTGTAGCTGCTTTATGAATACTTTGCCCATTTTTGTTCATGACTAAAATATTTAGTCATTTTTAAATTTACTAAGTGATTTCTTTAAATATAAATCTAGGAGTTGTACTTCTATCTAGGATGTAAATATAAATATAGAACATACTCATTTAAAATTAGGAAGAAATAATTAAATCAGCAGTAGAGGGAACTACCTCATCTACTTTTTCTTTCAGTGTTTTTCTTGTTTAATCTAAAGAGGCAGTTTTATTAGTGGCCTGTATAAAAGGGTTTGTAAAATGCTTTTAAAATGTGTGAGGAATGGGTAGAATTTAAGAGTTATTTAACTTTCTATATTTCAGGATTTACTATTTTGTTGTTAATGGATCATTAAACAAAGTTGAGATATTTCATAAAATATTCCACATTTAACACATGAAATTTTGTTTAATTAAGATGTTCTATAAATTGGAGGCCCTGGGGTTCTAGAGTTTGGGAAAATGTCTGATGTTTCCATTTGGAAATTGATAAATGGTAAAATGGGGTAAAATAAAACTTTTCCTATTCAAGCATTCAAGTTTTTATAATAACAGGGAAGAAAATGTGACCTAGTAAAACAAGATATATTTATGTGCCTAAGAAGGATACCATCTCTCTGACAATTCAAACATATGTAATGTATGGTATGCACTTTGAAGAGAAGATAATTTACCATCTTGATGAAGACCTATAGAATGGATCTCTAGATATTCTAGCTTCAAAGGGAAACAGCAATTGTAAATGAGGCAGTTAGTGTCTTATAGACAACATCATTGTTTTCCCATTTCTCTCTGTAATAATAATCACATGTCTGTGAGCAAGAATTATGATGTCTGTAATACTGAGCCTAATCGAATCAGGATTGCAAAGCGTAATCTCATCAGTGCTATGAATATTTTTCTGTTGCTTGGGAGGCCTTCAGCTTGATATCTGCATTACATTTAAGAGATATGAAATTAGATTTATGCATGAAGAGTCATGAAAATAATTTCATTTTCAGTGATATAGTCAGTCATTTGTGATAATAGCAACTTGAGAACTTATGTATGGAGATATGTACATGCATTTTTTTGTTGTAATATCATTTTTCAGCAAATAGATTTTTTCTTTCAAAATATCTATTCTTCCTTATTGTTAATGTTGGCATTTTTCCTAAAGTATTAGATAAATATTTTATATTCATTTTAATCTATACACGTATTTCACAGCTGAAAAATAATTGATTCTTGTTACATAAATGTTAGTGTTAGTCTAATGGTTTTTTGGTTGGGTTTTTTTTTTTTTTGTTACACAAACTTTTGGTTTTTAATTTCAAAATTTATCTTTCAAGCAATTAAGGTGGGAGAAAAAAAAAAGGAAACTATTAAGCCAGTTTTGGCCAGCTCAAGGGGAATATAAGCTACCTCTGGGTTGATGAAAAATGTAAATGGGAATTGAAACAAAATGTGTTAGATTTTGGCAAGAGTATCTAAAGAGGGATCTTAGACCATGTCACTCCCAAACTTACCAGGGTTAATGCTAAGGTGATAAATCTGATGCAAAAGGGGTCTTCCCTATCCTGCCCCTGGAACCTTTGGAAATGAAACTTTCAAGAATTCCTTGATCTCTGGATATGCTAATAGGTTTTTTTTTAATGGAGGGAAAGACATCCTTTTACATCCTTACACAAGGTTTATTGGAAAGCAGAATAATTGCCACCTTATGATTCAGAATCTGAGATTTAATGCTGCTACAGAAGTTTTCAGATCTGGTAATCATACATAAAATTATTTTCCAATATAGAATTTGTAAGATTGCTACATACTTATATTCTGAGTTAATTCTTGAAGAAAAAAAAATTAAACCTTTTAAAATTGTGATCTTACTTCATTAATTTTTAAACAGTAAACTATTAAATTTATTTGACTTTCCCAGTGATGTTTATAGTTTGTATACATTACTGTTTTGGTCTCTTTCGTTGATTTTACGTTGTGTCTTAGACATGGGATCAGTTTTTGTAAGGCAGCTGATTCAGCTCTGTTGAGAGTGTGCTATTTACTCGGAGTAACTGCTCAGCGTATCAAAAATATTTGGTGTAATTAGCGTGAGAGTTAAAATGCATCATTATTTGTTACAACAGTGCTGATTCTGTGGTCCATTTCAGACCTGTATTTCTATAGTTAAGAAGTTAGGCACATTAGAGATTATATATAAGGATTAGAGACATCCTTCCTCCCACAGTAATCATTAAAGATATTAAAGGATTTGGTCATGAAAGAGATCTCTTAAAATTTCACTTACAAATCTATTAAATAGAGGAGCTCTGGTGGCCTAGTGGCAAGAAGCTACACTGCAATACCAAAGGTGTGGTTTGAATCCACCAGATGCTCTGCTGGAGGAGGGTCAATTTCCTCCTGTGCCAGTTGGATCCGATTAGATGGTATACAACAAGAAAAGAAATAAATAAAATCTTTTTAAAAAATTAAAAACAAATCTATTAAATAAATAACAAATTTCTATTCCAGTGTAAAAGAAGAGAAATCATACTTCATTCAGCATATTACTTGGCATATGTGGTGTTAGCCTAAAAGTTGGCTTTTTGTTAGCCGTTAGTCAGTCCTCTGGTCTCCAGCTGCTTTAACTGCAGACAAATGGTCTTGCAAATCAGAATGATCTTGCTAATCATCAACATCTGAAGCAGCAATATAGCGAGAGCACGCTTCACACTAGAGGGTGTGTGAAAACACCAATACAGAAGTGGCCATGTGACTGTGTTTAAGCTTTCTGCTGCACTCAGCCTGGATCATTGTTCAGTTTGTAACCCAGCCTGCATACCTACAGTCACATGAGTCATTCCCCTGAGGGGCCTGAGTCCCTGGAGGACCTTCTAGCAAACCTTCAAACCCACACAGAGGAATTGAGGAACTAAGCCACAGATGGAGCTGTTAATAGAAAGTATGGACTTATCCAGTTGGTTAAGCATTTGGGAGTACGATGACCTGAGGCATCTCATGAATAGCCTCCTATTCCTCTTAGCAGGGCAAATTTATAAAAACAACATAAAAATGAACCTCATTTTAAAAATATCTTAATTTACTAAGAAAATGGAACCCTCTTTGGCAGGAAGGGTGAGTGGTAGTATGTGAAGATCCTGAAGACAGTGACTTAAAAGCAAAATTTCTTTGTTTAGCAAAAGTGTTGCAAATACTCTGTTTGCCAGATAACACAAAGCAGTGGTCCTTACAAGAATTTTCTAGTCCAGGTGAGAGGATGATAGCACTGGGATTTATAGCCTAATCCAGC